ATATAATGAAATCGAAGTTGATTATACTAACATCTGGAGTTTTTGTTAATTGCATCATATTTTAATTACAATAAATACTTTTAACTTTTGCTTATTTTTACATTTTTATCCTCGCTTATTTTTATTGATTTTTTTTTTTAATCTTCAACCTTTTATTAATTAGCACATTAATGGACAAAAGAAACCATTATCAACAATACTTTTGATGCTAACAAAATATTTGGTTAGGAATTGACATTAGGGACCAGATGTACTAATTAGTTGGAAAAAAGCAAGGATTGTAAATACAAAAATTAACAAAATTTAAGGATCTTTATTGCAATTAAAATTCTAATTAAATTTGTGATGTGAATTTATTTAGCATAAAATCAATAAGCATGTGAATATTTTGATTTGATATTTAATTAAGAATAAGTTACTTATACATAATGGAGTTATAAAATAGTATACATATGGATGGTGTATTCAAAAGAGAGGAGATTTATTTTTTATTTGTTTAAAGAATTCTAATCTAATCATATCGCACAGCATTGTGTTTATGAAAATCATTATGTAAATGTAATACAACCAATTAACTAATAATTGTTTATTTAATTTATTATCCATCGTGAATTTGCTTTGTAGTGAAATCAATTAGGTCAAAGTTTAGCACCTTTTTACTCTTACCGTCAGTCACTCTTAGCTCCCAAACTGTCTGTTCGATTTCTATGCTTCCATTGCATGATCCTATTCTAGGTTTGAGATTCATGAGCCCACCAACAAGAGTATGATAATATACATGAGAGAAGGTGGAGGATATAGTTAACTTAGAATAAATAAATAAAATATTTAAATTAAAACAAAAGAATCCTAATCTGATCGTATCGCACAACATTGTGTGTATCAAAATCATTATGCAAATAGAGGAGATTTATTTTTTATTTGTTTAAAAAATTCTAATCTGATCATATCGCACAACATTGTGTGTATGAAAATCATTATGTAAATATAACACAACTGATTAATTAATAATTGTTTATTTAATTTACTATCCATGTTGAATTTGCTTTGTATTGAAATCAATTTGGTCAAAGTTTAGCACCTTCTCACTTTTATTGTCAATCACTCTTAGCTAAATTAATTAATTTAGCAAAAAATCCAAAATATGATTTTTCTATTTCTAATTTTCGGTTCAAACCCAACTTAATTAAATTGATATAAATTTTTTCTAAATCTCATCCTACCGTAGTACCATTTACGTTGTTCTGCAAGAATCGAATTGAAAGCTCGGTTGCACTTTTCTTCATTATTAATCTAACATCTCATTGATTCCTTTGATTCAAGCCTTAATAATAATAATAAAAAAAATAAAAAATTGAAATATAACTCACCCCAACCAAATACATCAATAATGCAGACATAAGTAACAGATTAGTGAAGATAGCCACATAATTGATTAAAAGTCATTAACCAATCAATAGAGCAGCTTCAAGCTAATGAAACTAGTAAGGACAGGAAGATGCATTAGTGAATGGATGATCTTTATTTAAATTCTGGTCATTAGTGATATCTTTTGCTCAATTTGAGAATCAAATATAAAATTACAGATATAAAACCACAGAAAATGTAGAGAGGAGCACAGAAAATTAGTTACAAAACCACATAAATCAGATATAAAACCACGTCTTTATTTAAATTTTGGTCATTAGTGATATCTTTTGCGCCTTTTTTTGTTGAGCTCTTCATATATTTGACTATTAAAATCATAGAAAAATAAAGATAACGAGCTCACAATAATGAAGAAAAATGCAACCGAGCTTTCAATTTGATTCTTACAGAACAACGTAAATGGTACTACGGTAGAACGAGAGATTTGGAAAAAACTTATATCAATTTGACTAAGTTGAGTTTGAACTGAAAATTAGAAATAGAAAAATCATATTTTGGATTTTTTACTAAATTAATTAATTTTCAAATGAAATAGGAAAATGATATTTTTTGGTTCAATTAATTAGATGACAAATTTATTTAGGGAAAAGTTAAAATTATTTGGCTTATTTAATATAAAAAATCAGGAAAATTCGATTTTTTGATTCCTGGTCTAACTAATTACAAATAAGCATTATCATGTCATTTGTTGATAAACAAATTTATAAATTATAGCAACGAGAAGGATTAATTAGAATTATAGCAACGAGTAGGATTAATTAGAATTATAGCAACTACCCAAAAAACATAAGATGTTAGATTAAAATTCTTAAAAATTAATTATAACTATAGTTCCTGCATTAATTACGTTCAAACTCCCCCCAAAATTCCAGAAATTAAAAAAAAAAAAAAACACTCACAAATGAATTTTTATCACATTTTTGAATTTCTATCACTTTTTGTATAACATTATTATTTTTTTCCTTGTGTCAAGACAGCAAGTTAATCATACCACAAGAATAATGATTTAAAGGAACTTGAAATCACGTTTAGTAGTGACATAGCTTAATTCCTTCAAAAAAAAAAAAAAAAAAAAAAAGGGTGATGTACTCTCTGAATTTCATAAAATTATTGCCTAATTTAGCTTATGTATAAATATAATGATACACTTAGAGTATCTCTAATAGACTATTTAAATATGAGACGTTCTCTATTTTAAAGAGTCAACCTTTAAAATCATATTTCAAGAAACTTTAAATTAACATTTTAATTTAGAGAGTGGATTTGGCTCTCCAAATTTAAAGAATTAAACTCATTTTCTATAATTAAATGCTTTCAAAGTGTTTCAATTTTCAATGTAAAAAAAATAATAAAATAATCTAAAACAAAGCTAGTTAGATAAAAGATAGAGAAAAATAATAAATATGTTTTGGGAGCAGTAAAATTAAGTATTAAATATAGAGAGCTTGTTGGAGACTTCAAAATTTTAATTCTCTAAATTTATAGATACTCTCCAAATGATAAAATATACTTTTAAAAATAGAGAATCTCTTAAAGATGCTAGTCTCTTTTTAACATGTTAAAACTAACCTTCTTAAAGAAATGACACACTCAAACGCAAGTTGTTATATGTGTATTCTACGGGGACAATAATTTTAGTAATTTTTTCATATTATATCCGTTATCTTGTTTCTATTTACTTTCATAACCGATGAAGGTGTTAACTTTATCAATTTCTACACCAAAAAATTAAATAAATAATAATAATAAATAAAATACAAGTGAAATAGTATGCGACTTTTTTTTTTTTTTTTTAAATGTGATAGAATATGTACACCACATTAACCCATATGTAAAAGACAAATAAAATATAACCTTATTTCACTTTTTAATTAAAAAGCAAGGTTTGAATTTATATTCATATTTTTCACAAAAACACATGTATGCCTCTCTTTAATAGATTCAAAAAAATTCCAATGACACAAACTATGACCATCTTAAAAAAGTGATAGAGCATATCACTTTTCTCATTCTCATATTTGTATTTGCATTATCACAAATACCTTTCAAACATTACTTGAATTGATCCAAATTTGAATGGTCACATATATTAAATCAATCTAATTCATAAAAATTTATTATAATATACATTAAACTCAAAATCATTAATATAAAGATGGAATTTCATATGTACTTATATATATATATATATATATCAAAATCAAGGTAGAAATTGAGTTCATGATTCACACGGTTAAATAAAGGCATTAAATCAGTAATTATTATTAAAAATTAGCCTATAATTGATTTTTTTTTACTGAATTATTATGAAATATATAATTTATTTCTCAATAATCAAATAAAATATGAATTAATTGAATCAAAAGTCAAAAATATAAAAATATGTAGATTTGTATTGCTTATTTACAGATTTGGGGATGACGATGGGGACGAGAGCATCAAGGTTTTTCTGACACAATCAATAATTCGCTGCAAGGATGGATTGTCGAATTAACCCATTACCTTCTTGATGGAATTGCCACAACAAAGGCATTCTTCTCAACAAAAATTATTCTAGTAGGATAATGCATAGGAGGATTTGAAAGGCCTTATGGCATTCAGATTTTCAAGGTTTAGCCAATGCTCAAATCAGGAAAAAATCATGAATAAGAGGTGGTTGAAGCAGTTCTCGACTTTGTTTGGACCTCATTTGTGCAAGATTCTTTTTATGAATTTGATTTTGGAGTGTGCTAGATTTCAGATTTCGCCTTATAATATTTATCTTTTAGCCCATTTATATAATGAATTTTCAAAAGCACCCCAAAATTAAGAATATTTTCGTAAATTCGCTTTTTGGAAAGGAAAAATTCAAACCCCAAACCTAGGCCATTTAAAAAGTAAGGTAATAGGTATAAAGTTTCTAAATTATATATATATCATCTACAGTTGCCGGAACTCTCTGAAGTGACATCAATTGCACAATTCAAGTCACAATTTGAAGATTATCATCACATTATACCTAAATAATCGGACATTAAACTGATTCTAATACATCAATCGTCATTGAAATCGATAATTTCGTATTGAATGGGTATGTTATTATAATTTAATGAATTGCATGTTTGTGTTCTATTTCAACGTTCTTATATATAATCGATCGATATATGATACTAGAACTGCATGAATCGACAATAATCAGAAAATTGAAGTCACGATTTTAATGAATAATCAATCAATTTATGTTAATGTAATTCTAATTCATGTAATAGATCATATTTAAAAACTCTGGCATATGACTAAATGTGCATGTACGTGACATCGTATCGATATCT